ATAAACAGGGACATGAGAGGCTCACCCGGGAAGGGAAAGTTCTGCTGTGGAGCAGGGGGAGACCAGAACCCTGGTTCTTTGGCTTAAAGCTCAGTGGTCTTGCCACTCCACTCAGCAGCTCCACCACCTATCAGAGGAATGGCCAAGCCTGGAGGTAGGTGGGGGATGAGGAAGTCACGTGATAGCACCGGTGGCATCTTATGTAGAGGAAGCCTGGCTTACAATCCTTGCATCAAACAGCTTGGGTCCGAGGCTCACTTCCGCCATGCACTGTCTTGGACACATTAATTCCTATGTCTGAGCTTGATTTTATGCTCTATAAAGCTGATTCATTATTATCTATCTTACCTCTATGCCTCTTTCTCTCTCTTTACTCTGCCTCCCTCTCTTCCTGTTTCCTTTGCTCTCTCCCACATCCCCTCTCTCTTTCTCTCAATCTCTCCTTCCCTTTCTCCTTCTTTCCTCCTCGCTCCCTCTCTTGTTCACTCATTCATGTGTGCACACACCCCATTTTTTTTTTTTACTATAATGGGATTTGAACTCAGGGCCTTGCATACTTTATGCTGCACATTCAGCATTCAGCCCTTTTATTTTTAGGTTATTATTTTTTTTAGAAATATTTAGTGAGGGCTGGGAAGGTGGCTCAGTGGTAGAGCGCTTGCCTTGCATGCATGAGGCCCTGGGTTCAATTCCCCAGCACCACATAAGCAAAAAGAAAAAAGCCGGAAGTGGCACTGTGGCTCAAGCGGTAGAGCGCTAGCCTTGAGCTGAAGAGCTGAGGGACAGCGCCCAGGCCCAGAGTTCAGGCCCCACGACTGGACCCCCCCCCCCAAAAAATAAAAGAAATATTTAGTGAATTTACTCAAATAGAAGCAGTTTAAAGGGCACAGAAATGAAATATTAGAAATCTATGTAAAAAAATCAGATATAAGTTAGTCAGCTCCAGACATTTCCAGTTAAACATTCATAGATATACATATTCACCTTTTTCTTTATATAGAGATAAATACATACTTGATAGGAAAATTCTGGAAAAAAGTCAGAAATATTAAAAATATACTCTTAAGTTTGAAAATGATATGAAATATGTTTCACAGAACAACACTACAAAAATTTAAACCCCTGATTTAATTCCATGATTTTCATCATGCCAGAAGCATGATTTGTTTTAATTTAAAAAAGCAGATATTGGTATCCTATCACATTGGCTTATTAATAATTAAGGCATTTTTTATCAGTATCAGTGTGCACAAAATTTTTTTAATATTACTTACTATGGTGTTTCAAACTTTCAAAGTCTTTTCAACATAAGAAAATAGCTGCATCCATGACAGTGTTTCATATAAAACACAAAAATTAATGATTGGTCTTTGTAGTTCTAGGAATAAGTCCTCTCTTATTTCCTCATGTAGTATAAATGATCTTCCTTTGCAGGATTGCAGTAAGAACAATAGTTCTTAAACAATGTGCCCAAATAACAAAGCATCCCAAAGCAGCAGGTGAACAATCTTCACAGTGCACTTCTACCTCATTGAGGTTGGAGCTGCTCCTTTTGGATGTTTTTCCATTTCAATGTGAAGTAGATTGCTATGAGTTTCATTAGTTGTTTTATTATGTGGCTTTTGAAAGAAAAATGATTTTGATTTTCCCCCCCACAGTTCACAGTTCTCAGAAGAGACCTATTTGGGGGAAATCATATAGTCCAACAACGTTCAGAAAAACCAGATGCTCCTTAGTAGATGAAATGTCTCAATGCAACTGTAATAAATAAGTATCTACATCCTTAGCTTATATTGCCAGTATATCCTGGAGCATAAGTAAGATGGTTTTCCCATTCCCACAATCCATTTAATTATTGCTTTAAAATCTTATTATTTCCATCATTTATAACTTCTGTTTTGGATGACAGTTCTGACCACCACCTTTTTATTACTGCTTGAAGCCAGTTTAGACCAACTATTGCATACTCTTCAAATTTGCTCTTAAGTAATGACTTCACTATAAGCAACAAGTCTACACAGCAGTGAGAACATACTGCTTTTCTTCCTGCAAACTATTGGTGAGCACAGGGAGGCAATCTACCACACCTCCAAGATCTTCTATCCTTACCAAATAAGCTACAAGTTCACTTATACTTCTCTTTATCTAGAATGTTAGAGCTATATTCAACCTCAAATTCCTGCTGAATAAAACTTGAGCCATTGTCTCATGATCCTGAGAAACCTCAGGGGGAAAAAAAAACCTACTAAATTTTGATGATAGGTTTTCTGTTTGTGAAGAACCAGCTGCACTGGGGTTAACCAAGTACATTGGACTATCACGGCGTAACTCTTCAGGCAGATGGCCTGCACAAGCCAGTTCATTTTCTTTATCTGCCATGTCACAGCCTCCACTTCTCCCTGTCCTTTTTGTAACAAGGATTTGGGAAGGGATGATAGACTTTCTGTCCGTGCTAGATCACCTTATGTAGTTTATCTGGGCTTTTCACAGTGTGTCCCACTGTTCTGTTTATGTAAGCAGCCAACTCTTTCAGAGATTTCTTAACCTTCTTCATGTTCTTCTTAGATCAACGGAAAGCTCCTCAGTATTATTACAAAAATTTTGTTTTTTTTAACATTGTGGGTTTCAGATACCATAATTACCATAATCTCTTAAACACCGGTGCTTCATGGTGCTGCAAAGTGCCATGATCGCGCTTGGCCTCCCAGGACAGCCCTCAGCCCCGGACAGCCAGGCCCGACTCGCAGTCATTCAAATGGGCCTGTACTTTTAAGTTATTTTTAAAGCAGCCTAAGAGACTATGATCCTCTTAGCCTGTCTTGTAACTAGGATTACATGCATACCACTGTACCTAGCCTCCCAGTTTCTGCCTGCAGAGGGGCTGGGTTTACAGACATGGGCCACTTTGCTTGGCCTCTTGGAGGACTTTTGTGAGGATCAAATTGGTACCACGTAATTCTATCTACACTCATTGTACTTTTGCTGGGTGCCTGGCTTTCTTTGTTTCTTTTTTTTTTCTGCCAGTCCTGAGGCTTGAATTCAGGGCCTGGGTGCTGTCCCTGAGCTTTTCTTTCTCTCTCTCTCTCTTTCTTTCTTTCTTTCTTTTCTCCTTCATTCCTTTCTTCTCCCTCCCTCCTTCCTTCCCTTCCCACCCTCTCTCCCTTTCTCTCTCCTTCCCTTCTACCTTACTTTCCTTTTCTCAAGGCTAGCACTCCACCACTTGGAACTACAGCTTTACTTCTGGCTTTTTGGTGCTTAAATAGATCCAAGAGTCCCATGGACTTTCTTGCTTGTGCTGGCTTTGAACTATGATCCTCAGAACTTGGCCTCCTGAGTAGCTGGGATTATAGGCGTGGGCCACTAATGCTTGGCCTGGTTTTCACTTTTTGCAACCAGAGTTTACATTCACTTTTGTGTATAAATTAATATTTTCATGTGTACTAGTTGGTTTTGCTGAATGCCCAAAGCCTCAGAGTTTCAGCAGTGATTCTGGGGGCAAGATGAGGCCAGAGAGCTGGACACACGTCAGACCATATTAAATGATTTCAGTGTTCATCCCAGAGTGTTGAGAAGCTACTGAAGATATTCAGCTGGAGGCAGAGAGGTGGGAGGTAACAAAATCAGGGTCATGCTTTCCACCTGTCACTTGCATATCAACCAGCTGGAAGGCATGAGCCTTACTTGGGTACAATTTTTTTCTTTCAAAACAAACATTAATTTTGGCATTTCTACGAGACTACTAGGAATTTGAACATTGTATGGGAATTTGATGATATCAAGGGACTATTATAATCTTTTGGAAGTGTGGCAGTGGTATTGCCATTATATTTTTATGAAAGACCTTATCTTCAAGATAGGCGGTAATAACTATGGAATTGATAAAATGCCTGGAACTATAATGTGCTGGGGAGGGAGAGGGTGTGGGTGGCTAAGATTGAAAATGGCTTGCTGGTGATTGGTGCTGCATTCGTGATGCAATTCTCTGTTGTGTGTGTAATAAAAGGAGAGAAGGAGGGGAGAGAGAGGAGAGGAAGAATAAGGAGGAGAAGAAGAAGGAGGGAGAAAGGGAAAGGAGGGGGAGAGGGAAAAAGAGAGAAGAGGGAGAAGGAACAGAAGAGAGAGAAGAGACAGGGGAGAGGGGAGGAGAGGAGAGAGGTTATTCTGATTTTAGCACTGGAGACCAGATTTCCAGAGGGAATGGTGGGATATGGGGGGGGGGCATCAGATGGAGGCACTGGCTGTGGCCCAGGTAAGAATGATGAGGCTTGATCCAGGGCTTTGTGGAGAGACCTAGAGGGAAATATTTAGCAAGGAAAGTAGCCATGACTAGGGACTGAATTGGCTATAGGGATGAGAGCATGGAGTTTCTGGCCTGCCTAGAGGTGCAGGCTCATCCCTGGGGAAGAACCAAGCAGGCCCCTGGTTTGTGATGCTCCCTGTGTATTGAAACCGTTCTCTTACCCAACACCTTTCATTCCAGGCTTCCTGTACTCCTTGCACTCAGCAATTAATTAAGCTTTGGTATGCATGAATTAATTTAAATCATCTCCCAGGTTCAGAGGGCCTGTCCTGGGGTATGTATGTTCATCTGTCTCTACCTCCTTCGTGGGGCTGGTTCTTTGGCCAATGGAACACCTCTGCCTTCCCATGGTCACCCAGCAGTGTCTGTCTGCCTGCCTGCCTGTCTGTCTGTCTCACCCCGCAGCAAGCTGTTAAGTTCATATTTAAGAGCCTTCGTGTAGAGAAGTTAATGACTTATAAATTGCTCTCCAACGTAGAGCCAGAAATAGAACGCCAGAAGGATCCCTGAGGCTTCGTTACGCAGACACCAATGGAGTTGACGGCTCCTAAGTGGGGTGCACAAGTTCTCCCTCAAAATATTGGACAGCCGTTCTGGTTCCTAGCGTGGCTCAACACCTCCAGGCAGGGACAGCGTTGGCCTGAGGCAGGGTCTCCCGCCCAGTGGATGACCTGTCACCCTCTCTCCCACCCTCCTGCAGGTCATTTTCGGATGTGACGGCTGAGACATGAGATCTTCGGCCTCCAGGCTCTCCAGTTTTTCCTCGAGAGATTCACTATGGAATCGGTGAGTGCGTTGTGTCCAGCCAGCCTGGCCTGGGAAGAGCAGAGGGACCATGGTAGGGGGGTGTGGGTGGAGGGTAGGAAGGGGTCAGAATGCAAAATGCCACAAAACACGAGCAAGGGAATCTGGCACAAACGCAATCCTCGTGATCGTCGGTGGCAATGAGCTAGCTGGCTGGTGTTTGTGGATTTTGTATTTTCTACCATAGCCATAACCCATGGCCTTCATTCAGAAGAAAAGTCAGGACTGCAAAGGTTCCAGAAGTCAGGGATATTGTTGGTGATAAGGACCATGATGCCACCAACAGTAGCAGGTGGCATGTTAGCCACGCCCAAGTCCCCCAGTCATGAGGCTCTTGGGAAACATTTCATTCAGCTCACCCACCAGTCCTGCTTACTACCCAGCTGCGTTTAACATCACTTTTCCCTGACCCCCCCCTCCCCGCTCCCCCAGCTGGGAAACCTTGCAGAGTCTGAGACTCTAAAGTCAATTGCAAATCAAAGTCAATGAGCCTGAAACTGACTTGCTGTATGACTATAGACAAACCATTAATGGGTTGTCTCTGTGTCTTGTTTCCTTATTCAAGCAAAGGGGGTAATAATTATTTATTTTAGTGTAGGTTAGATGTACAGAAAAGGATTTTGAATAATATAGGCACACAGAACACAGTGAATATTTCATTTTTAGCATGAAAATAGGTTTTTTGAGGGTTTGGGGTTTTTTGTGGTGTCTTTAGGATTTGAATTTAGGGCCTTGTACTTTGAAGGCAAGTGCTATACCATTTGAGCCACGCCCCTTGCTCTTTTTGCTTTAATTACTTTTTAAACAACATCTTGTTCTTTTTGTCCACACTCAGACCTCTATCTCCTATGTTTTCTGCATAGCTGAGATTACAGAGGTGAGCCACTATGTCTAGCCCATGAAAGTAGAGTTTGTTTATTCATTTATTGTTGGTTGTGGGGCTTGAACTTAGGGCCTGGACACTGTCCCTGAGCCTCTTTGTACTCAAAGCTAGTTCTCTACCATTTGAGACACAGCACTAAGTCTGGTTTTCTGGTGGTTAATTGGAGAAAAGAGTCTCACAGACTTTCCTGCCTAGGCTGGCTTCAAGCTGCAATCCTTAGATTTCAGCCTCCTGAGTAGTTAGGATTTCAGGTGTGAGCCACCAGCATCTGGCTGAAAGTAGGCTTTTAAAATATATTTTTTAAAAAGTTGTTATTCTAAAGGTGATGTCTATAGGGGTTAAAGTTATGTAAGTCAGGTTAATGAGTACATTTCTTTTTGGACAATGTCACCTTCTTCTTTATCCTCTCCCAGTTTTTCCCTCTGTCCCTGCCCACAAGTTGTATAGTTCATTTTCAACATAGTTTCTACTGCATACCACTGCTGAATTTGGTCGCCCCATGTCCCTCCATTTCTGTGTCCCCCCCACCACACCTTACCCTTCCCAAAGATGGAAAACAAACAAGTCAAAAAAAGAAAAGAAAAAGAAGAAAACTCTTATTTCCATTTCTTGGAGTTCATTTTGTTAAATATTATTTTGTATGATAGGCACATAGGAATTGTATTCCTTTCGCTGTTTAGAGTCATGTATAATTTATCTTGTATTTTATATATAGCTACTGCACATGAGAGAAAACATGCATTGTTTGTGAAAATAGTTTTGTTGTTGTTGTTGTTGGTTGTGGGGCTTGGACTCTGGGCTTGGGTGCTATCCCTCAGCTCTTCAGCTCAAGGCTAGTGTTGTGCCACTTGAGCCACAGTGCCAGTTCTGGTTTTCTGGTGGTTCACTGTAGATAAGAGTTTCATAGATTTTCCTGCCCAGGCTGGCTCTGAATTGTGATCTTCAGATCAGCCTCCTGAGTAGCTAGGATTATAGGCGTGATCCACTGGCACCTGGCGGTAAAAATAGTTTTTAAAGACCATTTGTTATTTGAAAATATCTTAAGTAGGAGAGAGTGGCAAGAAGCCAGAGTTGGGAGTCAAAACTGAGGCTGTTGAGTTGGGTCCTGGTGATGCTGAGATCTGAGATGACAGTTTAAGCCCAGCTTAGGCCAGGAAGTCCATGAGACTCCTATCTCCAGTTAATTGCCACTTGAGCTGTGGCTCAAGTGGTAGAATACCAATCTTGAGTAAAAAAGCTAAAGGACCGTGCCCAGGCCCTGAGTTCAAGCCCCAGCATACACACGTACACACATATACATACCACACACACTCACACACAAAAACACACAAAACAACAGCTGCTACTTCTCTTCTCCTCCTTACCTTGTGATTTTCCAAGAATGATAACTGTACTACAGTGGGTTATGATTTGAATCATTCATTCATTTGTTCACTCATGGTTTGAAATATCAGTTGCCTATACTTGGGTGGTGATGAGCATGGGAAGGCTCTAGTTCTGTGTTTCCCTTTCTCCTCTAGTGAACTCGGAGGTTGCCAGCTACTAAGCTCACACGTGACAGTGACAGACAAAACAAGGAAATCTGACCCCTCCTCTGCGGGTCAGCCGGGGTGGAACACTGCTGTCTAACTCTGGATGGAGTCTGCAGGTGGTCAGCTTGCCCTTGCATGTGGGAACTTCCATTTGTAGTCACTGGAGCAGACCTGGCTGTGTGGCTGGGCCCTTTATGTGTGTGTACCACCCGAGCCTCATTGGTGGCTGTCAATCTGTACCGTGTTGGCATTGACCTCTCCCACCTCTTTTTGACAGTGCCTTACTGGGGCGTGTCTTCTTCATGCTTTCTGTATCCCAAGCTTCCTAGCTGGTTCTGGTATATGAGTATTGTGCAGTAGACAGATGTCTGTTAGATGTGGCAGCAAGAGGTAGGAACGCAGACCTAGGACCTCCTGTTAAGTTCAGAGCAGCCCATGTATCCGGCAGCAGCGGGGCTGCTCCTGTTCCGTCACCTTCCGGGTGGGTGCATGACGTGTTTTAATGAAGTATGAGGTGAACACGTTGCATTGTCTATCAGAAGTGTGAGACACCCAAGGATTTCTTTTTAATTTAGCGGTACTGGGTTTGAACTTAGGGGCCCTGACTTTGTGAGAAAGGTGTTCTACATTGAGTCATACTTCTAGACCCATTTTTTTCCCCACTGCTTATTTTTTTTTTAATTTATTTTTTTGGCCAGTTGTGGGGCCTGAACTCTGGGCCTGGGTGCTGTCCCTCAGCTCTTCAGCTCACCACTTGAGCCACAGCACCACTTCCAGTCTTCTGAGTGGTTTATTAGAGATAAGAGTCTCATGGACTTTCCTGCCTAGGCTGGCTTTGAACCACGATCCTCAGATCTCAGCCTCCTGAGTAGCTGTGATTACAGGTGTGAGCCACCAGTGCCCAGCTAAGATCTTCAATTCTTTCTTTCTTTATTTTTGTCAGTCATGGGGCCTGAACTGTGGGCCTGGGCACTGTCCCTCAGCTCTTTAGCTCAAGGCTAGCGCTCTGCCACTTGAGTTACAGTGCCACTTCTGGTTTTTTCTGCTTATGTGGTGCTGAGGAATTGAACCCAGGGCCTAATGCATGCAAGGCAAGTGCTCTACCACTGAGCCACCTTCTCAGCCCCTCCACTGCTTATTTTTGATGTAGGGTCTCACATCCTGCCTGGGTGCTCACCTGGATCCAGAGTCTGGGATGTCAGGAGCACACCCCCACACTCAGCTTTTTTCCATTCCAATGGGGGACTTGTGGAATCTTCTGCCTGGACTGGCCTCAAAACACAATCCTCCTAACCTCAGCCTCCTTAGTTGCTCAAATTACAGGCATGACCCACTAACACCTGGCTGCCACCTGATGAATTTTTACCACCAAGAAACCGGTACCCAAAACAGGTAATGGAAGAGCAGCAGATCTCAACACCTGCCTCACACTCCCTACCGGCCTCCGTGTCCCCACTCAGTACAATGTCCTTTAGAGGTGGCAGTGATAGAGACCATAGACAGGGTGGCACTAAGGGGAGCAGCAGCAGTACCAACAGAAGCAGTAGCAATGGTGGCAGACGTGGCAGGCAGGAGCAGCAGCGGTAATGTGACGTGGAACAGTCAGTCAATCTGACAGCAGTGGACAGAGGCACCTCCCACTATGTACCAGGCATGCGCCTCAACTCATCTAATGCGCAGGAATCCCTGGCACATAGTAGGGATTCTACAGATGGTGGCGGAAGCACAGAGTGGTTAAGTAGCTCTTCCGAGGTCACAGGACTGTGGAAGTATGGATCTACGACTCAAAACTCCACAGTCTGCCTGCAGAGCTTATCCCAGAGCAAGGTTTCAGTAATATCAGCATGATACAGGAAGCTCTGTTCTCCTTGGTGATGATAACACTCAGGCTGGCAAGGGCTTTCTCACAGAATCAAGTTTTATTTCCTAGGCTTCTTTTGTTTGTTTGTTTGTTTTGTAACTGACAACTAAATTCACACAAAGTAGAAGCAGCAGGTGCCCTTTCCAGGAAGCATCCTTAAAGGAAAAAGGCCTGCTTTCCTGCTTCGTCTTTCCTTCTGATAGTAGGTGTGATGGCTGGAACAGAAGCAGCTAGAAAGGGACCATGAAGTAATTGTGGGCATGGGGGACCATGGCAAAGAATCAAGAGAGAAAAGGTCTGGGTTTCACAGATTCCTGTTGCCCTTTGTGGTTTTTTTTTTTTTTAACCCAAGCATTGGCATGAAGGCTGGAACACAGCAAATGGAAGCTAGCAGCCTGCTGTAAAGCAGCTGGCCTGATGGTCGGGGTTTTCCTCCATCTGTATGAACAAGCTGACCTGAGCTTTAGACCTTCCTTAGCCAAACCATGGGAAACTCTGCGGCCTCCTCCCACCCCCCCAAATGTCAAAGCAGAAGCCCTGTCATTACCCAGCCGCCGGCTGTCAGCCCAAATTGAATTTCCCTGCGCCCAGCTGATGTCCCATTTTGGTTCCAGGGCAGGGGTCAGGAATGCATGCTGCACATGGTGGGAAGCGTGTCCCCGGAGCCGGCCACGGACGGCTGACCTCTCCACTCCGCATTGCTGAC